GAATCATAATTTTATGTAATTTTAATTAGGACTTTTTGATGTCCTTATAAAGAGGAAACCTCAAATTATATTTGAATATTGAGATTTACCAGCTAAAAAGAAACAAAACTTTGCTAACTCACAGGGAAAATCTCAAAATTTTAAGGCGTTTTCCCTCTAAACCAGGTTTTTTGTTGCTACTGCTCCAAAAAGTGCTTCAAATTTTTGTTTTATGATTATATTTCAGACAGTTCATTCAAATTATACATTAATAATGCATTTACTCATATTTTGAGAAAATGCAATTTTTTAAACATTTTATCAAAACACTATATTTGCCTATTTCTCCTTATACAACTTTTGGACTTAATCCTTGTTTCGATGTAATGGGTCACGTATCATACATATATCATTTAAAAACCACATTAATTAGCCTTTTATGTAATATTTTATCATGCTGCAGAAGAGACTGTTTCACCTCGTTTATTTTGAAAGTTAATAATATGAATATTTTCTTGCACAGTTGTCAGTTTAGCTCCAATATAAATACTAATCTCATAATATAACCCAGTTATTTTAAATAAATATCAGTGCAACTGAAATGAGTCTTAAATGAGAAATCCAAATCTGAAACCTGACATGGAGTTGGAAAAGGCCCGAAAGTGTGTTGCGGTGAGTTGTTGTGGAAGAACACAGGAAGCAGGTGGAAGCTGCTCAGATTCTTCAGGGTTTTTAGGAGAATTATCTCCATTCTGCTCCACTTTTATCTGGGAGCGCTCATTTACTTCCAGCAGCTAGCCGACACGTTCCAGCTTCACGGAGCTGAACTCTGGCAGCGACACAGATGCTGAGCGCCTGCTCTGCCTCTCGTAGAGCTGTCAGAGAAACTCCCCCTGCACTCGCAAACTCTTCACTGTGAAAATCTCATTTTCAGTCGTTTGCTCTGGTTTCATCTCCCTTTGTTCTCTGTGCCCCAAGGAGCAGAAGTGGCCTCCTCCCCTGACTAAACGGCCGTCCAGGGCGCGTGGCGGCATGACGCGGGAGCGCTCTCTGGACCTGCAGGACCGCCAGCGACAGGAAGCCCGCCGGCGCCTCCTGGCTGCCAAACGAGCAGCTTCTTTCAGACAGAACTCAGCCACGGAGAGGGCGGACAGCATCGAGATCTACATCCCTGAAGCCCAAACGCGGCTTTGAGGTTCACAGAATCATCCTTAGCTCCTCTCGTCCACCGCCGTCCCACACCACGACCCGCCGTGCTGCCCCCTGCTGGAGCTACACTGAGCAAAGATAACCCAGAAGTAATGCATTGTTTTTATTTACCTGAGCAAAAACAGCCTCTAAAACACAAACAATCGGACACCAAATACGATTTTAGGATTTATTTAACATTTTGGGACAGGAAATTAGTAAATACAAGAAATATTTAAGCTGCTAACATTTCCGTTTGCTTAGTGTAGCTTTAGGACTAAAAGGGGTTTTGGTACACATTCCAGTGATTTTTGATTTATTTTTAGAACTTTCTGTGGTCCTCTGAATCATCCATATGTGTATGAGAACAATAAGGCATTTCTCACGTTTACAGCTAAACACAAAGTGCAACTTTTCACCTGCCGGCAACAACAGTCTGTGGCTGAAACAACCGGAGACGCAACAAATTGATTAAATACTTTTTTCAGATGTTTTTATCCAGTGATGCATTTAAAGGAGACATATCCTGTTTTAAAATCCTCCTTTTCCACATTTAAACCAGTCAGTTGGGTCTTTATTGGTCTGCATTCCTCCTAATTGTACTTCTGCAAGCCCCGCCCCTTTTCTGAGTTGTGTCTCAGATCAACTCGTTTTGAGGCTGCCTCTTTAATCCAATTAAAATCCTTTATTCTTTTCATTAAAACAAAACAAGTAAATTCATATACAATAAGAAGAAAAATGTAAAAAGAAAAATTAGAAAAAAGTATATATATATATG